CACACACACACACACACACACACACACACACACACACACACACACACTGCGCTCGTGTCCAGTACTCACCCACCAACCTGTTCTGGACCCAAACCAGCTACAAGACTCAGTAGTAAACCTCATATGAACATGTTGCACTAGAGCGTATATATATATATGTATATATATACGTATATATATATATATATATATATATACATATATATATATATATATATTTTAGTTGTACACGCGTTCAATGAGCTGTGACCCCCCCATACATCATCATCAGGTTAATGGCACACAGGCCCCTCCCCCGTGCAGATTAGCATAAATAATGCACACTGGGCCTCTCTCTGCAGCAGCATCCAGTGGGACATTATGCTGTTCTTGCACTTCGGTGATTCCCGGAGTCGACTGCAGAGACGAAGTAAAGAAAGTCCTCTGTTCACACGACACACACCGTGTTTACACCTCAGGTAGTTCAAATGTTACCGCGTGGATATTTAAACAATCACACCGCTAAGGGCTCTGAGTGTTTCCTGTGAAGGTATTTAAAGCTTGTTGTTACGTTCACTCCTCCACCGTCACAGCGAGCTGTCAGTCACTCATGTGGAGATTATCCAGAGTAACGGAAATAAAACACTCACAATCAACTTATTGTGAGTGTTTTATTTATTTATTTATCTTGATGCGCTCTCATATCGTCCAGTCACGTGATCATGACATCACGTGATCATGACATCATTTTATTTCCTGTTTCTAATGCTCACCATGCTGTAATTCTTCGGAAAGAGAGTTCCGTCACTGTGGAACATGTGGGAGAGAGCACTCTTCCCCACTGAAGCATCTCCTACATACACACACACACAGACACAGACACACACACACACACACACACACACACACAGACACAGACACAGACACACACACACACACACACACACACACACACAGAGAGAGAGACAAAGACAGAGTTTCATCGTTGTCTGTCTCAGTCGTGCTTCATAACTCCTCATCTGTTCTGAGTTTCCATTAAAATCATAACAGAGTTTAAACGCTTCACTCGTCAAATAATCCGGTAAAGTTCAAACACCAGAGCTGAGATTATGTATTTAAAGATAATAAATACCAGAGCAACAATGCAAAACTACTCCATTACAAGTAAATGTATAAAAGTATCATCAGCAGCCACCGTACCGAAGTAGAAGGACTCGTTCTGCAGTAGTGCTCTCGATGCTATATTACATTATATAATATGATTATTATAGAATACTACTGCTGTATGACTGAGACACTCGTTTAATCTTCAAGGTTTCATTTTATAAACGTATCAAACGCGTTTTATGCACAATATTAATCTGAACGGTAATTCATAATTCCAGGTCTCAAATAAAGGTCGTGGAGTGAAATAAACATATTTACTCTGAAATGATGGAGAACAAAAGTAGAAAGTTGCATAAAATGGAAAAACGAACTCAAGTAATGTACAAGTACCTCACAATTGTACTCAAATGCAGTACTTGAGTCAGTAAACTCAGTTAGTAACAACCAGATGTACCAGCATGTTACTAACATCTAACATCTAACATCCAACGATACCGGAAGTGGTGTGTTTGTGATGAAATAGTGTCCTGGTAGCTGAGGTAACGGTATATTATATGTATATATATTATATATGTTATATATACTAAGTGGTGATGAAGGTCCTTATACCGTTAGGGAGCAGAAAGATGGACTAAACTCACTAAACCTTACCGACGAGCAGACATCTCGCCCTCAACTTCACCATCTTCTTCTTCTTCTTCTTCTTCTTCTTCAACGTAGACACACAACGCGTCTCTAGCAACCGAGCTACAGAGGCGTTTCATTGGTCCGGTCAGTGAGTGACGCGCAGAGCGTAGCTGTGCTCTGATTGGCTGGTTGTGATGACAATTGTAGAGAAGACTGTGGGTTTATTTCTCCATGACAAAGTCTGTCAGGCATGCTTTCCATAAGATGTGTACAGTGACTGCCGCTCGTGGTAAGATTCAACTAACTCCGACCGGAGCCCTGATCCGGTACATGGATCCGGCTTGTTGGCCGGGAACAGCACGTGTGGTGCTGAGTTTGGCAGAAATAACTACCTGAAAGACTAATTTGAGGTAATAAATACTCATGATAGTCGAAAGCAACGCCCAGTGCGGCCACTAGAGGGCGGGCTTACGTACTTCAGCGTCACAAATGACTAATTATATCAAAGATTTATATGTTTTTGTGCCGTTTGTAACGTTATTGCATCACTGCAAAATATAATTACATTGTTACAGCGGGTTTTATGATAGAAATCAATGTCCTGAAATATTATGCGATCAATAAAACACAATAAAATATCCTGTTCTGGTTGAGTCAACTTGTTTTTGTAAGAAAAAAAAGCCTTTCAGTCAAATGTTAAAGCGCGTGACTCCATGTGGCAACCCCTTGTGAGCACAAGCGCGCACCCCCTCATAAACACGTGCGCGTGCTCCAAAGGCGTGACAATTGGAGGCGCGTTAACGAGAGAGAGAGAGAGAGAGAGAGAGAGAGAGAGACAGAGAGAGAGAGAGAGAGCATCATCATAACACTGGCATTCAGCTTCCTCTGCTCGGATATCGAAAGAGGACGAGAGGGAATTTAAAGGTTAAATTCAAAACAGCAAGAAGAGAGAACAGGGAGGCTTGCAGCATCCAGAAGAAGAAGAAGAAGAAGAAGCAGGAGCAGAAGAAGCAGAAGCAGGAGCAGATTGGAGGATATTTTCTGTGTGGGTTTGAGGACCGGAGGACCAGAGAGGAGGCTGTGCAGAGAGGAGGACCATGGAGGGGATGCAGGCGTACGGAGCCGGGAAAGCCGGAGGAGCCTTCGACCCAGTCACCTTCTTCCAGCAGCCTCAGACCATTCTGCGCATCGTGTCTTGGGTAAGAGAAAAATATATATATTTATATAAACAAAAAGATATGTTTGTTGTATTCTTTGCACGGGCCGCTTATAAATATCTTTATTACACAGTCTGCACGTGCAAATGTCCTGCAGGGAGTGTATCTTATCCTGCTCTACGTTATTGCATTTATTTTTAATTTTCCTATATTGTGTAACACATATTAATATTTGATATTTGTCTGTTTATGGTACTCAACAAGGAGTTAAAGTCAGGCTGATGTAGGCCCAGAATGGGTCCTGGTCTCTGTTTATATATATGCATACTGCATTTATATATATATATATATATTTATGATTCGGATGAGGAACACACAGGATTGTATATATATTTATATTTGAGAGCATCAAGTAGAAGCTGCATCTCTGTTTTTATTGTACTTCTGGTTAAATAAATGACATTGGAGGCCAGTTTAATACAAACTGAAGGACAACTCCATTTCTCTTTTCTGTTCCATGATTAGATTTAGATTAGTGAGTTGTGTTTCCAGAGTCTGATTCCTAGTTTATCACCTTGTTCACTCTTCTCCTTAAGGAATGTGTAAAGTTAGCTGGTTCTCGTGAAATGCACTCATGAAAACAAACACGTGTCTGGTTTGTTTTTACCTTCGTCCTGCTAACCCTGCGTACTGGTTTTATTCTGTCAGGTAACGTGTAAGATATCAAAAGTTAAGACCATTGTTTACAGTTTGGATTATTTCTTAGGAGTGTGTCTGTGTGTCCTTGAAGTGAAAGGAGACATTTAAAGGAGCTGAAAGGATAAAGATGAACATTTTATTTCCAGTAAAAGTCTTGCTGTCACAATCTGAACATTAAAATAACTTTACAAGTGAAGACCATCGACTGTCTATAAGAAGTAGTTTGTGAACGGACGTTCTGAAGCCTCGAGTTTGTCGATTTCGC